TGAGAAACAGTAGCCAATCAGTTGTTTTAATTGTCATATTTGAATTCAGCACATCAAAATACATAATAAATAGCACATTTTATCTCTGAAGCAGATGACTTCTCAAAAATTGTAGACCAGTGTAGCATGTCCCCTGTTGGAAAACTAGGATGACCGAGTCCTTTTCACAACAGCCGAATGAGTGTCAAATAATAGTGTTTGCTGAGAAGGGCTTAATTTTCCCCCTCCCATCTAATCAAAACACATTCATTCCTTTCCCCTCCTCCTTTGCACAACTACCCTTCTCCCACCCCTACTGTGCCAGGTGTGATGGGGAGGTGCTCATCACACTGTATGAAGGACAGGGCTCTGTTTGTGGAGTGCCTTTGTGTTCTGTCAAGTCTCTGCTGCCTGGGGTTAGCCAGAGCTGAGGTCCTGAGGGGCCATGTAAGGAGAAGCAGCATCTGAGGCATCACTCTGAGCTCACACTAGTTTTGCTCTGTTGCCTATGAGATTTCACCTGGTGTGGGAGGAGCGTCAGGAGCTGGAGAAGGCTCTGCAGGGTAGCATGCTTTCTGGGCTTGATTCTCCTCTCGCATACCCTAGTGCAAGACAGGAGTTGCTCCATTGAAATCAGTGACGTTAACATAGGGTAAAGAGTCTGCGGGATGAGGGAGCGGGCCCTCTGTCTGTGGAGCAGCATAGAAAAGGCTCCAGGAGGCTGGAAGTATAGCATGTCTGCAGGAAAGCGCTCTTCATCCTTGCCTCAATGTGTGCTCTACAGAGCATGGCCCTCTGGGAGGTGAGAATGGGCAGTTATTGCTGAGGCTCTCAGTTATTGCTGGCTCATGGGAAAGCTGTAGATGGCCTCGTCTTCACTAAGACAATTAATTCGAGTTAAGAACACACCTTTCCTTCCTAGTGGAGACACGGTCTGGGTGTGTGCGCAGCCCCATCCCAGGGGGCCCTGATCTCAGCGGGGGCCTCTGGGTGCTATTCTGATGATGACTATTAAATCAGACTAGGAAGGGGCATGCAGCAATGAGCTGCTGCCAGGAGGATGGGGTTGCAGGTCCCTGCCTGCCTGATGCTTTCACGGCTCCCCTTGCTCTGAGCCCGGCAAGCCCGGTGCTAATGGGCTGTTCTGGTCATGGCCCAGGAAAGTTGAGGCTATGGTGTACTCTCTGGCTGCTCGGAAAGCTTTAGCCTCATGCTTGTCACTGGGTCTCAGCCCTAAGAGCGTGGAAATGGTGAGCCTCCCATGCCAGATGAGAGCTCACAGGTTGGTGCTCCAGCTGGCAGCAACGGGTGCTGCTGCAAGGGAGCCCCCAGTCTCAGGGACACCTCAATAGCTGACCTACAGCAGCATACTGCAGAGCTTAGAGACTTTTTCTAACATGCCTTTCTGGGTCCTTCCAGGGCGTTCCTTGTGTTGCCAGGAGTGCAACCCCTGCTGGAAAGAGCGACCTTAAGGCCAGCAAGATGGCAGGAGCATCTGTGAAAGTGGCGGTGCGAGTGCGTCCGTTCAACTCCCGTGAGATGGGACGGGATTCCAAATGCATCATCCAGATGACAGGAAACACCACCAGTGAGTAGCAGCCCTGGCCCTGCGCACAAACGCCATTGGGGGTTGGGAAGGAGGTGGGCTACACACAGATCTGCATTCATTTCCACTGGGCTGGCTGCTGCTAATGGCAAAACAGCCACTTGAGGTTCTACCGGTGCTCGGGAGGGGGCCTGTTCCCCCTGCTGCCACCAGTATTGCTAGTCCCAATGTCATAAGTCAGTCCCCCAAGAATCATGAGTCTGGCCTGAAAATCATGGAGGTTTTTTTAAAAATCACACATTTTGGGTTCTTTTTCTTTGCCTTCTGGCTTTTGTGCCTCTCAGATGCACATGGGTCATGTTTACAGGGTTTTCTCAGCACCCGTGAGTGCCAGAAAGCTACTTTCTTTTCCCAATAAAAGATGAGATTCTTGTGTGATCACAGGCATCCAGGAGCTGGGGCTTTAAAAGAAGCCTCAAATATAATGAGCCTGGTGATGAAATCTGAACTTCACACTCCAGATATAGAGCCTGGTTGTCTGCTGCGTTGTTTGGTGTGGCATCAGTTATGGCTGTGAAATACCAGCACTGGTGAAGGAGCAGAGAATTGTAATCTGGTAGCAATTTACATCATCTTTGCTCTTGCTGAACGCAGATGTAACCTCACTTCTGCAGGCGCAAGGCGGTGGAGACTTGGGCTCATGGTGTGGCGCTGATGTTGGATAAACTCTCTTCTCGCCACCTTAGGGGTTTTATCCTGTCGCCCATCACTGTGGTATCTCAGCATCTTCCATGTAAAAGCAATACCAATAGTGAAATCCCCAGTGGACTCCATGGAGCCTCTGGCTCTCCTCACTTTTTGGGGTATAAACTCTGCTTGGGGGATGTTTTGGTTGGCTGGTTACTGCTGGTTTGTATTGTTGTTAGATGGGGGAGTCGATGTTGTCTCATTCTTGTGACAGTGGAAGGGTTCTTTCTTCACAGCAGTCCACTCCATGGGGGTCAGCATGGTCTAGCATCTAGAGCACTAGACCGGGACTCCGGAGAGCTGGGCTCTGTTTCCATCTCTGCCACTACCCTCCTGAGTGACTGTGGGCAGGTCACTTTATTTCCCTTTGCCTTTGTTTCCTCCTCTGTAAAATGGGGATAATGGTACTGCCCTCCTTTGGAAAGTACTTGGAGATCTATAGATGAGCAGTGCTAGATATTCTTCTTCTAGCAGAAACCATTCAACAATGCCTTACAGAGCATCTGTAAGACATTATTGAATTATCACTTCAATTCACCCTAGGGAGAGCCTTCGGATTTGCTGTCCCATTTGATTCATTTGCTTGTAGCACATTATGAAAAGGGCCGTGATCATTCCCCTCTATTCGACATTGGTGAGGCCTCATCTGGAGTACTGTGTCCAGTTTTGGGCCCCACATTACAAGAAGGATGTGGAAAAATTGGAAAGAGTCCAGCGGAGGGCAACAAAAATGATTAGGGGGCTGGAGCACATGACTTATGAGGAGAGGCTGAGGGAACTGGGATTGTTTAGTCTGCAGAAGAGAAGAGTGAGGGGGGATTTGATAGCTGCTTTCAGCTACCTGAAAGGGGGTTCCAAAGAGGGTGGATTTAGACTGTTCTCAGTGGTACCAGATGACAGAACAAGGAGTAATGGTCTCAAGTTGCAGTTGGGGAGGTTTAGGTTGGATATTAGGAAAAACTTTTTCACTAGGAGGGTGGTGAAGCACTGGAATGGGTTACCTAAGGAGGTGGTGGAATCTCCTTCTGTCAAGGCTCCTTCCCCACTCTGAACTTTAGGGTACAGATGTGGGGACCTGCATGAAAACTTCTAAGCTTAACTACCAGCTTAGATCTGATCCGCTGCACCACTCCCAATGTGCTAATTCCCTTCCCTGGGTAGCCTTGAGAGACTCTTCACGAATTCCCTGGTGAATACAGATCCAAACCCCTTGGATCTTAAAACAAGGAGAAATTAACCATCCCCCCTCCTTTCTCCCACCAACTCCTGGTGGATCAAGATCCAACACCCTTGGATCTAAAAACAAGGAAAATCAATCAGGTTCTTAAAAAGAAGGCTTTTAATTAAAGAAAAAGGTAAAAATCATCTCTGTAAATCAGGATGGAAAATAACTTTACAGGGTAATCAAACTTAAAGAGCCCAGAGGACCACCCTCTAGCCTTAGGTTCAAAGTTACAGCAAACAGAGGTAAACACCCTAGTAAAAGGTACATTTACAAGTTGAGAAAACAAAGATAAAACTAACACGCCTTGCCTGGCTGTTTACTTATAAGTTTGAAATATGAGAGACTTGTTCAGAAAGATTTGGAGAGCCCGGATTGATGTCTGGTCCCTCTTAGTCCCAAGAGCGAACTGCCCCAAAAACAAAGGCCTGGTCTACACTACAACTTTAATTCGGATTTAGCAGCGTTAAATCGAATTAACCCTGCACCCGTCCACACAACGACGCCATTTAATTCGAAATAAAGGGCTCTTTAAATCGATTTCTGTACTCCACCCCGACGAGCGGAGTAGCGCCAAAATCGATTTTATCATTTCGAATTAGGGTTAGTGTGGCCGCAATTCGATGGTATTGGCCTCCGGGAGCTATCCCACAGTGCACCATTGTGACCGCTCTGGACAGCAATCTGAACTCGGATGCACTGGCCAGGTAGATAGGAAAAAGCCCCCC